AGTATATATATATATATATATATATATATATATATATATATATATTTATTGTGTGCAGAGCATGCAAGATAGCAGGGTAATTGAAGAGATTATCATGTGCGGAAGCTGAATATTTTTGGAGGCGAATTAGGAGCCATCATGTCATGCAATGTATTGTGCGGTTCGATCGAGAATTTGGGTTAAAATTTGGATCAGAAACCGGTTCTATTGGATTGGGTGGTTTGATCGTGAATCGATCGAGTTACTAATCCAATCAAATTTGAAATTCATATTTGCATCAAATAGGCTCGAACTTGTTTGAATCGCTGGTTCAACTAAAAAAAACATCTAACTGATATCGATTTTGTCGAAACGGTCAATTCTATAAAATATTTAATTTATTTTAATTAAAATTTAAATAATATATTGTAGTTTATTAAATATTTTTAATAAATATGAAGATGAATTCAACCATGATATATGCATGCTATCTCACATAACATGCTTTGTTGTAAGGTGTGTGTATTTTGTACTATATAAAGACAACTGCTTCAAACTCCCCTGTGATGTGGGATTACAAAAGATACATAAATACTGTATGAGTTAGAATGTGAATTTGGGTTGGGCTGCGAAATTGGATTAGTTGGATTACAAAATTTTTAAATGTGTATTATAAATTTATTATAATGTATATTACAAAAGCTATATGAAATATTATTCTTATTATAAATTATATTTATATTTGTATATTTATGTTATATATACTTTAATTTTGTAAATACATTTAATGCTCATATATATTTATATTTATAATATATATACCTATATTCATATTAATTGTTAATCAAGCTTCCTACGGCACTTTATATCTCTATAATCAAACTTATTCAAGAGTTTTATTGAGCTAATATATATTCACTTTTAAAAACTTCAATTATTATATAATTTATATAATAATTTAATAATTTTAATATTTATTACGTAATTTGATTTTACCCTGGTCCAACTATTGAACCTCGAACGATTCTTTCTTTCTTCCGGTTCTATGTCTGGTAGGGGTGTCAATTTTTGACACGACCCGTGACACGACCCGAACTCGACCCAGAAAAATCTAGGTTAGGGTCAACCCGGACCCGAAACGGGTCGGGTTCAACAAATCAACACGTTTTAAAAATCGGGTCGGGTTCGGGTTGACCCAGCAACCCGAAAATGACCCGAAATTAACAAAAAAACTCCTATTTGACCCGAAAACCCGAGATTGACCAGTTTTTGACTCGATTTTGAACGAAATCGAAGATTGACCCGATTTTTGACCCGAAAATTAGCAATTTTATGTCAACTTTGGGTCATTCGTGTCGGTTCAGGTTGAACCGAATAACTGGTCCAGTTTTCACAATTTTAATTGGTTGGAATAGCTCTATATCATGGAAGCAATATTTAAGATATCATTTACTTCTTTATTCGGTCCTACTACTTTGAGGAGAGGAGACTAGATGTGACACCTTATGCTTTAATGAAAAGATTGAAATCTTTAACCCATAATTAAACTACTCAATCACTAATGGAGACAACCATAGCTACTATAAAACCCAAATGATAATACACTGAACATATTTCATTTCATCAAAAAAATATATATTAATCCAGCTTACCAATCATCTCTACATCAAAATAATTAAAATTGGATTACAAATTAATACCTTAATCACTTAAACTCGAAAGATCCAATCTTTACACTTTTCTACTATGCTCGACATTTACACTTTCTTGAAAAATTAAAAAAAAAACATAATGAGTACACTCAGCTCAATAAATTTTTCCTCCCTAAACCCATCAAAAATATCAATATCCAAATTAAAATATTACATAGGTGACTCATGATTTTAAGTTCTGACTTATAACTTGGACGCCACTTCCACGTAAGGTTCAAAGGGTTTAGATGCATCACAGAATCATTATTATCAGAGGTCTTCTTTACTTTCTCATTTCACAAAGGTTTATTCAGAATTTATGAATTATTAACATTCGTTTCAGAAAATTATTTATACTCGATTTATAGAAGGATTAACATATATAAGAAAATGATTAAAATGCACGTGTACTATTGTCTATTTATAACTCCATTTTCACTTATATATACCTCCTTTTAACCTCCCATACCTAACCGACTACCCCTAGTAAGTGGTAATAGAATTGTAGCGCCGTTGTTGGGGGTGCCACAACATTAAGCTCTCAATTTTTGGGGGAAATTAGATTTGAGTGGGCAATGCGGTGTTGGGTCTCAGGTGAGGATAATATGAGAGAATAAAAAAAATTAATGAACTTTATGAGTGACTTTTACTCTACATATATTTTCAATGATTTTAAATTTAATATATTTTTCTCACTTGATATTGATATAAAGGTGGTATCTTTTATTTTAATGAACTTTCACCATGTAATTTCGAATGTGGTAGATATCATTATTATGAGTAATTTGACTGGCTTATATTTTATTTTTATAAGATGGTTTGGCTTATATAACATTTTAATTAAAATAAATCGAGAAATATTGAGTGCAAAATAATTAGGAGCTAATGTACTGAATCTGATATGAGATATATGACATGCATATGGTTACTGTTCATTTGATATAACATGTATTTAGCATAATACATACACGTTGATGAGCATATTGGATAGATTTATATGTTATGATTGTTGCATATGATATGTACATGATATAAAATGAGTGTAAGAACAAGTAAAATGCATGAATTGATGTGCTATATGAGATGGATGAGGATTGGTACTGATATGATTGAGAAGATTGATTACTGATATGTGAATAACGAGAGACTGATGATGATTATGATTGATAAGAAAAATAAGACTAATGAAATATGATAGATAAGATCGATGATAGATGATAGATATGATAGATGATGGATATAATTATATTAGCAAACTTTAATATACCTTCAATTTTCATTAAAGCTGTTCACTATCTTGTTTAGCCAAAAGTTTCTTTCATTTTGGATTCATCTTCTAGTGTCCGGTGAGTTAAACAATTTTTTTAATAAAATGTCTATGTAATGCATATTCAATTATTTATGCCTCATATATTCATGTATGTAACTCATGTTCATGAATGCAACTCAAGACTTTTATACGCTACCCCATTTTTTTCACTCATAAACTCTAGTTATAATTCAATTCTTCTAATAACCATTGCTCTGATATCACTCTGTCACACCATAGAATTTAAATTTAGAAGAATTATAGCTTAATTTTTATCTGTTTAAACATTCAACCAGAGCTTACAGTTTTATACGAATAGAGGAATACATAAATGTTTTTATATTCATTTAATATTTATAACTGATAAAAGCCCAAAATGACATGTACAATAGCCATGATAAAATTAAACAAGTTCATTACTATGAATACATCATGACAATAAAAAAAGAAGTCTAATATATGCAGAAAGAAAAGCTAAGCCTCATATGACCCTAATCACTCCAAGCTTCTTACTCTTACCTAAAAATATGTAAAAATTACATAATTAGCATAAAAGCCCAGTAAGCTATCAATATCTATAATTGAAATCAATGCACAACATATAAATAAACATATCCATATAAACAACCATCTATCATCATATATACAAAGAAAATTTGGAACTCCATCGAACAACCTAATATCGAGCTTTCATTCAGCATTTAAGTATTTTAATATTGTCAAAATTAAGCAATCATGGCTCAATTGAAATTTTTTTTGTTGAGACTTTCGAATTGACTATAAGCATACAAGATATGAAAATCATTTGGTCTTCCAATTAATGTCCTAACATTTTCAATTATGATTCAAGTGCTTGATCTGAGGTCATTTGGACTCAAATGAGACAACTTTTGGTGTCATTAGTTTTGCCTCAACGAGATGTTCAATTCGACTATAAGTTTGCTGAAATTAGAGTTAGCATGATGCTGAATTTAATTTTGAAAGTTTTGAATTTAAATATGCATCAAGATTTGCGCCCAATCAAAACAATTTTAAATGATGTATCATTATTCAAAAGTCACTGATTTTGATTGAACTCCGAATACATAGCAAGTTGACTCCATTGCTACTGCTCATCACAACCTGCCACCACGATCACCAATTCATCACCATTATCGTTGAACACCACCTATCACAACTACCACGTGCCACCAATCTTTGCCACTCTGTCACCCACTACTGTCATCATTGCTTGACACAATTACTCATCACCTGCTCGCCACCATTGACCACAATAATCGGGCTTTACACTTCATTCATTTTACTTAAATCAAATTAAAAAAATCATATTCTTTAATTTTATCTTCATTCAAGTAACTCTACATATTTTAAATACAATGTATTCTTTTATATTATATTCCATTAATTTTCCAACAAAACAACCGGCCGCAAAAATTTGAAGGATTCAAAGCATCAAACAATATTTTTTTTTAAAAAAAAATCTTAGGAATAAGATAAATTTTAAAATTATTAAAATAATCCAAATTTTAAATATGAATTTTAAAATTTGGATTTAACTTTTAAAATTTGTAATACAAAAAAAATAAATTTGGATTTTGGATGCCAT